AGATCCATCCTCCTTCCCTCCATCCTCTGTGTGTCCTCCTGTCTGACCTGCAGGTGAGAAACAGGTGTGAGGTGTCAGCTGTCAGGTAGGTGATGAGTGAAGAACAGAACAGAATCCATTTCCTCTTCAAACTGAAAGATTTCCTGTCTTCTTCCACTCCGGATCTTTCAGTGTCACTCGACCTTTAAGAAATCCATGCTGGTAGTCATCATGAATGTGGTCATGTCTAAGGTAAAAGACATGGTGCAACTGCAGGCCGGGCTTTTTCCACTTTAACATTATGATGGCTGCATCTTTGGGACCATAGCACTCCAGAGTGGCATCTTCTCTGAGTGTGACTGATACTTTTCTTTGATCTGAAAAAAAAAAGAAAAGAAACGACTACAGTCTACTACAATAATCAAACAGCTAAATCAATAAAGTTGATATATCACAGAGCACAGACACGGACAGAAAACAAAAGGTCTGTGTGAATTCAAAAAGTTTAGCTATTTAAATCCAGGCAATTTCAAACATCCAGGCTATCAAATCATTAACTTCAAAGTGCTTTAAATGAAGTCAGATGAATCCTGACTTTATAGACTTTTTTTAAAGTCTGTAACCAAGGATGATGCATTTTGTAGGTGGAGCTGAACAGGTTAAAAAACCTTCATATAGCTTGTGGAAAAACCAAGCATCTATGCTAAACAATAAGCAAAGACAAACATACCTCTGTGTGTACTTCACAGGACTTTTATATATTTCCTGTATGAGTGTTGATTGATTTTTTTATACAGCAGTCTGATGTACTCACTACCTGTTTCTTGAGGTGATGTTATAACCTGCAGCAGTCGAAGACATGGTCTGTGACAAACATGTCAAAATATAAACTGACTCTCTGCAGGGAATTGTGCAATATGTATGCCAGCTCCTGATTCACTCCACTAGATCCCCAATGATCCACTAGATGGCGTAAATGTGAACCTAACTATAACTGTAAACAGGTCACACACGACCACAGGCCTGTACTACAAAGCAGGATTTTGTCTCATGCATGGTGAATCCTTGGTTTTCTTAACTGTGAAGACAGGGTGACTGGCGTAAATCACCATGGTAACTTATTTACTTGATTAACTCAATTGTATTTTTTAAATGGCATCTGGTGTCCTTGTGTGATGAGCTTCAGTAAGCTAGATTCTTAGACACAATTTCCTGTTTGTTTGTTTGTTTGTTTGTTTGTTTGTTTGTTTGTTTGTTTGTTTTTAAATTTCATTGTATTGCTCTATAAGTATTGATTGTAGTGGGGTGTGGTTAGTTGCTCTGCTGCAGGGGACGGGTGGAGCACAAACATGCCTGAGTAGCCACCGAAAGCATAGAGAAGGGAGAAGCAGGAGCAGCAATAGGAAGCCACTGCTAAGAGATGAGGAGCTGAAAAGCTGCTCCTGAAAGCACAAACTTGTTGAAAAAGTGCACTGAAAGTAAAGAGTTTGCTATCACACTGCAGCGTGTGGGTCATTTATATATATAACTAAGATAGTTTTATGGTATTTTAATATTAAACTAATAAAATACTATTATACTTTATTATAACTCAGACTCTTTTGATATTGATAAGTCGATAAATTGATAAAGTCAATATCGATAAATGTTAACTCACACAATCGCCAATTTTGCTGGCTTTTCTCCCTGCATTCAAAAAGCCTAAACTTTATTAATAATGCAGCTCTTTTCCAAGATTACTGACTAAAACATTTGAATCTCACATGTTCATACATCACTTTTAACACTGCTACACTGCTTTTCCTCTCACACCGCAGGTTTATCCACAGCAGTTGTGTTACTTGTATTTTGAGTGTAACCCCTTCATGTTTTCCTATATTATTATTTACTCTGCCTTGGTAAAATCAGTCACTCAGCTGTACATTAGTTGGCCAGAGCTTTCCAACATCCTTCCTTACATGAATGAGTAAACCCTGGGTTAACTTAGAGAGCTGATAATCAGCTTTGTGTGATCATTTATCCCGATCACCACGGTTAGGGTAAGAGAATCCAGATAAGGGAAAGATGCCCTGGGTGTGCTGAACTTTCTTTCCAATTCAAGTGTATAATCGCAGCTACAGTGGCTCCTATAAGACACGTTTTAGGCAACTAAGACCAGAAGTAATCTGGACTGCAGCATATGTTGCTCTAAAAGCTTTATAAACCTTTCAGCATTCATAGTTCCTTCTAAAACATGCAAGCTGCCCATACTGTATGCGCTTACGCACCTTTATACCATAAGAGATGCTGGCTTTTAAACTAAGCGCTGATAACATACTGGAAAGTCTTCCTCCGTTTTAGCACCGGAAAGCAGCATTCATGATTACCAAAAATAATGTATATTTGGACCGTTATGAGCAAAGAACACTTGCCCACTATGAAACAGTTCATTTCAAATGAGTCTTTACCCACAAGACATGACGGCACTTCTGGACTATGTTTAAATATGGTTTCCTTTTTGCATCATAGAGCTTTAGTTGGCATCTGCAGGTGGCACAGTGGATTGTGTTAACCTACAGAGATTTCTGGAAGTATTCCTGGGCCATTTAGTAATGTCAGAGATAAAATCAGGCAGATGAGTGATGCAGTTTGCTCTCAGGGCCCGAAGACCATGGAAATCTAATAAAGGTCTTCACCCTAGTCGCTTTCACACAAAGACATCTTCAGTTTCTCTGACTCTTTTGTTGAGGATGCTGTAGATGATCAGAGTTACAAAGCCTTTGCAATTTGATGTTGACAAACATTTTTAAAAGTATTCCACAAACTTTGTATGCACTCTTTCACAGATTGGAGAGTCTCTGCTCATCTTTATTTTGGCAGAGACTCTGCCTCTCTAAGACATCCCCTCTATAGCTAATCATGTTACAGACCTGATATCAATTAAATAAATTACGTGCTAAATTTTCTCACAACTGAATCTTCTTGAACTTCCTTGCTTTATCAACCATTTTTTGTTATTATGCCAAAAATCAAGAATGCGTTAATCGTTACTGGGATTTAGATAGGGTCGTTATTCGTTACTTCGTGTGGTGGCTATCGCAGAGCTTCCACAGATTCAGTAACCATGCAGGGAAACATGAGGATGAAACCATGAGATGTTCTTACTGAATCATCAGAGCTGAACAGGTGATGGCAGGTTTACCTTTTAGGTGACATGAATGAGTTGAAGGGAAGTTATGAACTGTTTCTGAGAAATTTTCTATGTAGCTGACAGCTGGTAACTGTGCAGGGGCGGGTCTAGCAAAGTTTTGCCAGGGGGGCAGGTAGGGCATTAACAGGGAAAGGGGGGCACAAAGAAATACTTTTCTTTCTTATTCTCATTTAAAATATCTAGCTTTTAACAAATAATTATCTGAATCCTACAGCAAATGATTGATAGATTGATGCATATATACCATCAAAAAAGTGTACATCACTGTCACAACAGCGTTTGTTTTCATTCAAAGGCTTTATGATTTTTCCTATAATGGTGGGTCGGTCTCTAGTCAAAATGCCCGATTTTTTGTCCCAGTCCAGCCCTGTATGCAGCTCATCTGCAGTCTGGTGTTACCTACATCTTCCTATTCAGAAGGCAGAATTTCCCAGTTCTGAAAGTTACTTTGAAAGTAACGAGTAACTTGAAGTAACTGAGTTACTTTTGATAGAAGTAACTAGTAATGTAACTAAGTTACTAATTTAAAGTAACTTACCCAACACTGGTAGTGAGCTCATTTGAGCATAACATTGTAATATACTTTCTTTCTGTTAGTTAAATCTTACCTACTGAGACAAACATGAAGAGGCTGACAAACAACAGAGGGCGTGACACACTAACGTGGATGTTCCAGCAGCCATTTGTGTCTTATACAGTTGTCTCAGTCTTAGCTTGTTGTAAATACTGTTGGAATTATCTGTCCAGTAAATTAATACAAGAAGAACCTGAGTTTAAAACCTGCCAAGACAGATTAAATATAAAGATGTGACACATCTGGAAACTCCGTAGGAACACATCTGTTTTTTGGAACATATATATACAAACACATATTGAGTGAAAAAAGGTGAGAGTGCATCATGAGAAGGCCCCAGCAGCCTTGGCCTATTTTAATGTAACTAAGGGAGGATTAAGGATCACCTGATCCAGAATAATTACAGTGGATAAAGTATGTATTAATCGCATCACCAGTTTTATAAGAAAATATATTTCTAAAGTGGATATTGACATGAAATTCACACCAGATGCTGGTAACAACCCATCCAATCCACGCATGCAAAGAAACGTATTAGAATCTTTAATTAGAAAGCAATCCTGCCAGTTAGTGCAAATTAATATCAGCCAATTCTTCCCCAACTGAAGGCCTTTAAAATGATTTGTCCTTACCAAGGTATCGCACAATGATGATGTCTTATGATGGGTCACACCAATGAGCTCTCTTACCCTGTTAAGCCCCATCAGACCTTTGCAACCTTATTGTTGGAAAACATACTGATGGCTTTGGTTACACAAGAATTTCTAAACTACTGAACGCTCTGGTGAGCACTTTTGGGGCCGTAATCCGGAAGTGGAAAGAACGTAATTTCACCAAAAAACAGCCACAACCAGGTTCTCCCCACAAGATTTATCAGAAGAATTATCAGAAGAGTTGTCCAAGAACCAAGGACCACTGATGGAGAGCTACAGAAAGACCTGGAATCAGCAGGTATGATTGTTTCAAAGGAAACAGTAAGAAATGCATTCAATCGCCATGGCCTATATGCTCACCACACGAGACTCGATGGCTAAAGAAAAAGCATGTTGAAGCACATTTAAAGTTTACTGAACAACATTTAGACAAACCTGTGAATTACGGGGAGAATACAGTCTGTTCAGATGAGACCAACATTTAACTATTTGGATGCCATAATAGACAAGGTCTGGAGGTCAAAAGGCACCGAATGGCTACTGAATGGCTCATTATGTCAGTTTGGATATGTGGTGAGAGGGAAACATGAGGATGAAACCAGGAGATGTCCTTACTGAATCA